GGATGTGGGGGGAGCCCCTGGCTTCCCGCCTGGTCGTGGGGTTGAAAGCCCCGCAGGGAGTCGCGTGGGAAACAACGGGGAGCACGGAGTGGAACCGGGCGGAAACCCGGGAGTGGAATTGCCGGTCCCGCCTGGACCTGCTCCCTCGGGGCAGCCACGGCCGCGCTTCTGGGACAGGGCAAGGGGCCCCAGGGGCCTTTGCCTCGAAGCCCTCACTCAGCACCCCGGGGGCCGGGGAGCCCCTGCAGACGCTGCACCGAGAGGCTCCGCCCAGGAGCCCCCGGGGCGGGACCGGGAAGGCCTGTGAGCCGGGGAGGAAAGGGCCTCTGCCCACGCAGCACGCGCTGCCCGTGTCCGTGCCTCCCTGTCCCGGGGTGGCTGCGAGAGCCTCGGGCCCAGCCCAGGTGACGGTCTCAGGCGTCCTCATGTGGCAGCCGGGTTCCAGGAGCAATTGTTAATTTTTCTGAACACCTTCACTGAGGTGCAGTTTATTTCAGAATACACGAGTCAGTGGTTTTATAACTTTATCAAGTGTGCAACCATCAAATCAAATGTTTTGGAACATTTTAATCCCTCCAGAAGATCCCTTGTGCCCCACTTCCCGTGCCCTACCCTAGGCAGTGCTGATCTACTTTCTGTCTCTGTAAATTTGCTTTTTCTGTACACTCGTGTATATGGAATCATACAATATGTGATCTCTTGTCCGGCTTCTTTCTGTTCTTGAGATTAGTCCACAAGGTTCCATGTGTCAGTAGTTTGTTCCTTTTCGTTGCTGAAAGACTGGATATACCATGTTATTAGTTTTTAATAAGTCTACAGTTTGTTTTGGAAACATTTTTGATTTGGATTTATTTTTTTGGTGACCTAATACATTGGGTTTTTTTTAATATCCCTTGGAAATTTTAAAAGAATATGTCTTGGGTGTTTAAGTTGTAAATGTTAGGTAGGTGTCAATTCATGCTTTTAAAAAAATTATGCAAATGTTCTACTGGTTTTGTTTATTATTCCGCTTATATTAGAATCTTTGACTGTAATTGTCACTTTGTCAAGTTCTTGTTTTCCTAATATTTTTAATTCTGAATATAATAATATTTCAGTATTTATACTTCCTCTAGAATATACATCCTTAAACGATGCAGGCCACTGCAGAGGTGGAGACAGCTGCTGACAAAGGCTACCACAGTAAAGAAGGAGACATCCAGAAAGGTAAGGGGACATGCCAGTTGGCTTTGTTCTGGGAGGATAGAGATAAGTATAATTGGGCTAGGCGGTTACCCCTCCAGTGTTGCTACTTTTTAAACTTTTCTCCTAGTAACGTGATAAGATGCTGCAGGTTTTAACTTGGCAGCCTCACTCAGGTGACTTTAGTGAATCTGGGCGGCCTACGCAGGACCTCACAGGGAAATGGAAGATCCAGGGAATAGAAGGTGAACCAGCGGAGAACATTTCCGTCCTCCAGGCCGTTGGGAACTGCTCATAGGCACAGTGGACAGTGAGCAGAATGATTGAGTCGCACTACCCAAATTGAATATGGTTTGTCTTGACACAAATCTGAAATTTCTTTTCTCTGGTGACCATAGAAGAGAAAGTAAGAACTAACAAGAGCAAGAATAAGAATGAAGTCTTGGCCCTGGTCAGTGTGGCTCGGTGGTTAGAGCGTCGGCCTGCTCGAGGTGTCTAAACTCCATTCCGGTCATAGGACTGCCCTCTTCAGAAGCCTTTGGTGGTCACCTGTAGCCTCAGAATAAGAGCCAGCTCCTCAGCACATCATAAAAGGCCTTTTTTCCTGTTCACAGCTCCGATCACTCCTATAGAACTGTTTCACTCCAGACAGGTTGGCTTGCTGTGTCCTGAAAATGCCAGGTTCTTTCATATAGCTCGCTTTATAGGTGCTGTTTCATTTGCCTAATATAACTTGTGTTTCAAAACACTTTTTAAATGTAAAGTTTTCTCTGAGATTGGTTTCTCTTTTCTTAAGCATTTACCTGCTCATAATGACAGCTCTGTCATCACTCACTATGTCTGTATTACATTTATGTGCTCTCCTCTTTGGGGGCCCTTACGAAAGCCATAAGTATTTGGGTGCACCACCCATGTCTTTTCTTTGTTTCTACAATGCTTAAGGGTGGAACTGGGAGGCACTCAAATAATTACAAACAGTTGACTGCCTCATAAATTGCAAATTCCTTGCTATTTATAAGAGTTCAAGAAGAATTTTAACCACCATCTTAGCTGGGGCTACCGTAACAAAGTACCATAGACTAGGTGGCTTAAACAACAGATTTTTTTTTTCTTTCCACAGTTCTGGAGGTGGGAAGTTGGAATCAGGGTGCCAGTATGGTCAGGTTTTCATGAGGGCTCTCTTCCTGGCTTGTAGGTGCTGCCTTCTTGCAGTGTCCTCCGCACTGCTGAGAAACAGCAAGCTTCCTGGCACTTATCCCATCTTGAGGAACCTATCCTCATGACCTCACCTAGTCCTGATTTCCTCCCAAAGGTCTTGTCTCCAGTTGCTATCATATTGGGAGTTCAGGCTCTAACAGGAATTTTGAGGGAGATGCAATCAGTCCATAGTGGCAGCCACAGGGGATATTGTCATGGGTAACGTAAAAGTATTCCTACAATGGGGAGAGCTTGGACCAGATCACATCTGAGTTCTTTTCTACTGTTTAGATTCTGTAATGTCCCTGCTGTTAACATTTCATTGTTTTTCTTTTTTAATCAGATGGGCCTTCTAATCCTGAGAGAGGAAATGTGCCCTCTTCCAGTGGTTGTAATGAAGCCAACGTGCCTTTCCGTGGTGATGGCTGGGGTTCCTTGCCACTAGAACGAAGAGCTAATGACGAAGAAATCAGCAATGCTGGCAACGTAGATTTACTGGAGCTGTCTTTTACTGCAGGTTCAGATAGTAACAGAGAGAGTACTCGCTGTCAGTCAAGGGAGTTTGAAGACAGTATCGACTATGTTTTCTTGAATGAAACATACTCTATACTTTATTCAGAGTCAAAACTAAAGAATCAAAGTCTTATTCTTTTAAATTCAGAACTTGATTCTGAAATACAGAGAAGAGAGGAGATGTTTTTTGATATTTTGGAACATAAAGTTAATAAGATTATTGACTTAGACAGAATCAGGATTTCAGATGATGACTGTGTAGACACTGCTGAGGACGTGGAGAAGCCTGATGCAGATGAGGACTCGCAGCAGGAGTATCTCAGTGCTGAAGAACAAGGGTATCTGAGTGGCCACTCTTTTCTCGATCAAGCAGAAACATTAGACGTATCCAGCCTGGAAGTTGCTGGGTTAAGAAATTCAGGTTATGAAGTTAAACATGCTGACAGTCTAGAAGTTAATCACGTAAAGTTGGAAAGTAGCTCTAGCATCTCTTTAGATTCAATTGATGTTTGTGGACAAGAAGATTCACCTCATGTCTCTAAATTTCAGAATTCTGTTATGTTAAGAGAATATCATAAACCAAAGGATGAACATTGTAAGGAACACGAGACTGGCTTAATGTACCACAGAGTATTTGATGAGATTGTCCTAAGGAATAATCTTCCTGAAAACCAGGGGTCTCAGTCTAAGAGTGGTTTCTTAAACCCTGAAAAGGCACTCAAAACCAAAATTTATACTGGCAAAATTAAATCTCAAGTAACTGAAAGTAAAGATTTTTGTGGAAATGCGACTGTTGAGAACAAAATGTTACAACACCTTGAAGATCATAGCACATCACCACAGGACAAAGCTTTAGAGAGATCACTACAGCCCTGTAAAGACAGTCCCTACACCTCTGTCTGTAACGACTCAGTGGTTTCTGCTAGTGGACATTCACTTTATAAAAGCCTGCTGAGCGCTCCTAACTCAGTCCTAGATTTTCCTGTTACTCTGCCAAGGACTGGAGTCAAAGATAATCAGGCAGTAGAAGAAGATAGCGCCCCAGAAGTTACTGATGGCAGCGCTGCAGGGAAAACATGCTTTCACGGTAGGGAAGGGACATGTCCCAGGTTTGAGACAGGGGCTGCGCAGCACGCTGTCACGGTTAACCAGGCCGTGGATGCCAGCGCCGATTTCAGGGCCTGTTTCACAGCCAGCAGAACGACAAGCACAAGGCCCTCCGTAGTGTGCACGTCCAGCAACACGGAGATCACCATGATGAATAAGAAACGCCCTGGTGAGCTGCAGAGGGGGCGATACAGAAGCGTGGCTTGTAACACAGACTGGCCGTGCAGTCGGGACAGTGGCGACACGCCGATGGCTGGGACAGAGGGATCCCTGGGGAAATCCCTCTCAGTCGGCAATTTAAGACCTAATGGAAACTTCCTAAACAAGGTAAAACCAGTATGATTAATAGAGTTTTGTTTGACTTTATAGAGTGTCAGTGTATGCTAATGTAATTTGAATTTTAGCAGAGGACTCGGGCTTTTGTGAGAAAATGATGGGTGGAGGGGACAGGTAGGTGGATTGCTGCCACCCCCATCCTTTTCTGGTGGCTGCTCTTGCCACAAAGCCCATTAGTAACTGGGTCTTATATTTTATCATTTTGGAGAACATGTTGTTTGTCGTGTAGTTTTAATCTGATTTTCAATCACGTTTGCAGGATTCCCTGGAATTAAGAAAAACATGTGACATTACAGACTTAAAGGAGCATCCTGAGAGGTCAGTTAGCCGTATAAGCTTGCAGGTACCATGGGGGAAACCAAATAGTAGCTGGTGTTTTGTAGGCTACTCGGTCGTAGAGAGCAGCAGCTTAGAGGGACTTTCGAGGTCATCAGCTTCCGCCATTTGCCTTCATACAAAAAAAAAGTCAAGATAATACAGAATGTTACAGTTTTTTCATTTACTGAGACTTCAGTCTCAATAATTCCTGTAGAAACTCCCAGCATCTTTAGTCAACCCGAATCCATACGGAGTAACTGGTTTAGTTACTCAGGTTTTTTTCATTTGATCCCCCTATGGACCAAACCAAAACAGCAGCATTGGAAAATGTCACGTATGTGAAAAAGTAAATAGCTACTTTGACTGGGATACTTTAGTCTTGACTTTAACTCATTGTGTGATTTACTTTGTACTTACTGGATACCCTTATAATTCAGAACACGGTGGAGAACCGGGGTGGGGGTAGGGAAAGGGAAGCCTCAGAGAAGCCACATTCATGTTCGTGCTCTGAGGTCATTTACTTTGTCCTTCGTCGGTGCTTGCTTCTGAGTCTGTCTGGTATTTAGTCCTGTAAAATTACTAAGAGCTGGTTTCCTGACACAGAAGCACTGAGAACAGAAGTGACAGCGAGTAGCAGGAACTGTTGACATTCAGAAAATGTAATGATTTGGGGCTTTTTGATAAATAGCACAGCAAGATATTTGCTTATAATGAACCTTAATTATTAAGAAAAATGTTATGTCTATTTTTATATTAAAAAGATAACACATTTAAGAACTTTTTATCCAGAATGCTTATAACTTTAAAAAACGTTGGCCAGCCAGCTAGGCGCGGCTCAGTGGTTGAGCATCGGCCTAGGATCCAGGCGATTAGGGTTCGATTCCCGGTCAGGGCACATGCCCTGGTTGCGGGCTGTAGCAGATCAATGACTCTCTCATCACTGATGTTTCTATCTCTCTCTCTCCCTCTCCCTTCCTCTCTCTGAAATCAATAAAGATATATTTTTAAAAAACAACAAAAAAACGTTGGCCAGCCCAAATGGCGTGGTTGAGCGTCGACCTACGATCCAGGAGATCGAGGTTTGATTCCCAGTCGGCATATGCTCGGGTTGCAGGTGATGTTTCCATCTCTCTCTCCCCCTCTCCCTTCCTCTCAAATAATGAAGACATGCTTTAAAAAAAAAAAAAAAAAGTCTTTTAAAAATAAATAATGTTGGCCAAAGCTTGATTTAGGTTGAAAACCTACTGATTGTGGATAAAGTCATTACTTTACTTTGGAGTTCTTTTTCATAAAAGGAAGTATGAGTGAGAGAAGTGTTTACTTCCTTGAGTTCTAGAAAGAATATATTAGCTTTGACTCCTGGCATCCTGTTTTCCAGCTGTAATGCGTTTCTGTAGCCTTTCCATGTCTGGTAGAACTTGATTTAAACCTGACAGGGAAATGTGAGAACTTAAAGTCTGTTTCTAGAGGCACGTTGTTAACACAGAAAAACATTTGGGATCTTACCTAATCTAGTCTTTATTTTTAAAGGGAACCTCAACTTCATAAAGAGATGGAGAAGAATTTGCCATCAAAGTGCTGTCAGAAAACACTGCAGAGAGCCATCAAAGCAGAGCTGCACCTTTTAAATATCCACTATCAGATGTGCCATCGCCATTGTAGTGACATCTACAAACTTGTCATGGAAAATAGGGAAGGATTAAATAGGTGATTGTTAACTTTAAATCTGTGTCATCTTAGAAACTTATCACTAGCTTTAAATTCTAGAAAATTAATTTCATTTTTGAAGGGCAAAATGAGGTATAGATTATAACTGGATTTTAAAAATAATGCATTTGAATTTCCTGGAGAGATGACAGTGCATGCTGGGATGATGAATCTGATAAAAAGATAAATGTGACATTTCTTACGAAGCTGAAGTATGGATGAAGTCAGTTGCAGGGTTTCGTACCACATCCTATCCCATTTTATCTGGCTTGTGTATTGAGGGTTGTGGTACTGCTTCTAGAAAAAAAATCTTCTGTGGTTCATTTCCTTTTACTAAACATTTAAACAAAACGATAGGATTAGAACTAAGTATATAATATTAGTGTTAAATGGATGACTTCAACCTAAATCAATTTTGTGAACTTAACTTTTGGACAGGAATTTATCAACTAATTCTACCAAGAAGGAATTAGGCTCAGCATTACTGTCTGTTTTGGGAGACTTAAAAGTTAAATATGTGAGTTTGAAAGAAAGAGTAAACCAGGGCATACCACTGGAGGAGCTGCCCCCCCTGTCAGTAGAATCAAAGTTGTTATCTACCTTCTCCACTTTTGCTTCCAGGGTATGTATGTATGTATGTCTTAGGAATAAAATTTTTACTTTACTTGGACAAAACATTTTAAACTAAAAGATTTTTCTTCCCTTTTCTGTCTTTCAGCTGATGAAGAAAGAATCACATGTGTAAGTTATGGGTTCATCTAATTTAGAATTCATTTGATCTTAAAATTGCTTAATTTAGTTTAAGTTTTCTGTTTTGGTCCTTATTTAGAATATTGACAAAATCTTTAATGAAGTGTTTATCTGTTTAGCTTTTCAGGAGCAGATTCTGAACTAGATAATCAAAGTACACGTGATGTTGACGTTTCTTCAGGCCTAAAAAAGACCCTCTCTCAGGTGAGACTTTTTTAGTTCATAAATGTAAATCTTTGATTTTATGGCTTAAACAAAGTAAGTTATAATTTGCATAAGTTCTCACTTCCTTTTATTTAACTGGTTTACTCTGTGTACTACTGTTTGAGGGATATAACTGATTAGAAGGAACACATGTCCTTATCAGACTGTCAGCAGTGTATGTTGAGTAGGGTGACCATGTAACTTATCATTAAACCAGGAGACGAGGAGGAGAGGTAGCGATGCTCATAACCCACCAGGACGAGATACAGACCGGGACTCTCGGGCAAACCATGCCTATGGCCCCCGTCAGGTTGATCCAGTGGTAAAAATCAGTATCTTAGAGAGGTTATCCCGTCAGAGCAAAGTAATATCTCCTTCATTTTAGACAGGGCTAAGGGTTAAGTCTTTCCTTATTCAAATGATGAAAATCATTTTAAAATGCCTTTCATAGGTTTTCTTGACCTCTCTTGGTCTCAGGGAAATGTTTGTCGCTCTGCAGATTGTGAAGTGATACAGAATCACAAGTTATATTCCATGATCAAGCGAGGCAACAGGGCAGGACAGCTGGTACTTAACGTTTACTTTGACTCTGGTTTTAACTCTGAGGTTATATTATACGGGTGGTTTGTATAATACGATGCGTTCCAAAGCCAAAATGAGATGCCTGATTGATTCATATTCCTTCCTATGAACATAAGTGAGTGAAAGTAAATTGCTTTAGTAATGTATTCCTCTGTTCTACCAGCTCCATTATGCACAGAGAATTAACAGATCTGAAAACGGATTGTGACGCCCTCAAATTCCTTACGTAGTTTGCTTAGACAACTTGCTGCTTTAATGATGTGGAGTGTTGTAGGGAGGGCGTCCTCACTGCAGTGGTGGTGATGGCAGGACCTTATTTGGGGGAAAGAGTAAACTACTTTTAAGCTGTAAGGTGCAGATACACATGGTTTTATACTCTGAGCTTTGCCTATAGAAAAATATTTTAAGGTGTGATCATATTTTAATACCTGTCTCATTAACAGGTTAAGCCTGAAAACCAGTGTAGTGTATCTAGATTTTAGTTTCCTATGTGCCATCTTCACAGTTTTCCATAGATGTGTTGCCTATGTTACTTGCTTTTGCTTTGTGTTCTTATTTAAGCAATTCTCCTTTTAAATAAACTTATGTGTAAAGAGTAACTTATTTACTGTTACACTTAGGAGAGAAACATTACTTCCCATAAATATAAGGTATGCATAAGTCACATGAAATCTGTGACTTAAGTGTTGATATGGAAAATACTTATATGTATGCTTCAAGAATCATCTCAATTACTTCTAGTGTGAGTTTGCCACACTTTGCTCAGTAACGGTAGTGTTAGCATATTTTCCCTGTACACAGACCAGGGTCATTCACATCCTCAATTGTGTGACAGACGTTGTTTGCTGGCCTGTAAGTGTGCGTGGGGAATGATTTTGCTGTCAGCCTGCACTGTAGTGAGGGCTGATGCCAGGGAAGAGAGGCGCTGTACCGTAAGCACTGTAACTGTTAGTCCTTATTATTTTAATCCTCAGGTGTCTGTATTACCCGACGATAGTCATCCTAAACAAGGTACATCACCCAAGGAAGGTGGTTTAAAAAATGGTGATATAGAGGGATACTTTGGTCAACTGAAACTTGATGATAAAGGTCAGTATAAAAATGTATTGTGCCATTGCCAGGAAACAGTAAGGTTTAAGATCCTAGTGCCCATTCGTGGAACCATCATACATAGTTTTAATTGACTGAATGGCATCGTTCTGATTATGAATGTTAAGTATGTTCTTTGTAGGTGTATGTGAGACCTTTAAGGCTACTTAATACTGTATCTGATAATGCCAAGTAGTACAGACTTTTAAAAATTATCCTCTCCAATTTGTATTTCCTGAAATTGTGTGTGATATTTTTTATTTTGTCTTCTATGAAAAGAGATGATCATTCCAAAAAGATTATTAATACAATTTTTTAAAAAAATAAAGAGCTACAGTACTGTTTAATCCCTTTTTATTATTTTTTATTATTATTTTTTAATTCTCACCCAAGGATATTATTTCCATTGCTTTTCAGAGAGAATGGAAGGGGGAGAGAGAAAGACACATCCACATCGATTGGTTGCCTCCAACCAGGGATGGAACCTGCAACCAAGGCCTTGCCCCTGGCCAGAATCGTACCTGGGACCCTTCAGACCTCGGGCCGATGCTCTAACCACTGAGCCAAACAGGCTAGGGCTTAATCCCCTTTTAAAGGCATTTACTGTTGCCCCGCCGGTATGGCTCAGCGGTTGAGCATCAGCCTAGGATCCAGGAGATCACCGTTCGATTCCTGGTCAGGGTACATGCCCAGGTTCCTGGTTCAGTCCCCTGTAGGGGTGTGCAGGAGGCAGCTGATCAGTGACTCTCATCATTGATGGTTCTCTCTCTCTCCCACTCCCTTCCTTTCTCTGAAATCAATAAAGATATATTTTTAAAAGAAAATTTCTTAAAAGCCGTTTATTGTTAGTCTGTATAGAAAGATAATACAAATCTCTTTAGTAAAGGGTAACTTACAAATCAGAAAAACGAGCCTAGGAATTGATGTTGAAGGGAAACTGGGAGCAGATCATTCAGACCGAAAAATACTTTTTATTCAGGGACTGCTGAAAATCCCTTTAGAGAATCTGTTTTTTCCCAATCCTCACCAGAGGATATGAATCCATTGATCCTAGAGGGAAAGAGAGAAAAACCTCTGTCACCTCCCGTAGCCTCCCGTGCACACCCCCACCAGGGATCAAGCCCTCCGCCTTTCAGTGTACAGGACGATGCTCCAACCAACTGGGTCCCACCAGCCAGGGCCCTTCTCAGGCAGTCTTTATGCTTGGTTCTCCTATTTTGCTAATATTTTGGTTTGGTTTTGTTTTTTGTATTTCTGTTTTGTTTTAATTTATCTTTATTTTTGAAAGTATTACAACTGTCCCCTTTTATTTTTATACATAAAACTATTGTCATGTAGGTTCATTTTGAGAAGCTTTTAAGTAACGTCTCAGAGGGGCAAATATACATCATTCATAGCTACTTTGTTCAATTTCTCAGATTACAAAAATTATCAAGACGTAAGTGAAGACTGGTTTGATGCTAAAGAGAGCCTGACAGGTGTTGACTGCTCAGGAGTACAAGAAAAGCAACTAGAGCAAGACGGATGGGATCCGAAGTTTACAGGTTGGTTCTTAACAGTTGACTGAGAAACCTAACCCAGCTAATTTTAAAAATAGTGCTTCCTGTCTTCTGTGTTATTGGGGGAACTGAGCTGTTTTAGTATTTTATTCCTGTTTGTAGCTTCCCTTTATAAATATAAAAAATGAGAAAATTAGTCATTTGGAGGTCAATTTTTTAAAGACTAAATCAGTTTAAATTGTTCATTTCATTTTCAGGAAACTATCTGCTAAAAGATTAAATTCAAGATTCAGTTAGCAGGCAGGGTCCAGCACCCTCTCGCTACCCTACTCTAGGCCAGCGACAGCGCCCCATCAGGGTTTCCTGTCCTCTGGACCCCATTGGGCGCTCACCAGCTCTGTGGCACGTGGTGGCTAGAGCAGGCCCCAGTTCCCGTCAGGCAGCTGGGACTGGCTGTCAGATCAGCCGAGAGAGGAACACTGCTTTCCCTGTCTGTAGTTTAGTCTGTCTCAGGAGGGGCTTCATCCTTAGTCCTCATGAATTGCTTAGAATAGTTGGGACTTCCTCCAGTGGCTGTGATTACTGCAGTCGTCATTTCTAATGACTTGCTACTTCCTCTCTTTTTTCCTATGTACTTATGTGGATTTTTTTAACTTTACGTAATAACAATGGTTTTGTTTTTCCTACTTGTATAAATAATGCTTATTAAGATTTTTTTAAATAAAACATAAAAGTATAAGAAAATTAAACTCTGGCCAAGTAGCTCAGTTGGTTAGAGCGTCATCCTGATACACCAAGGTTACGGATTCAGTCCCTGGTCAGGGCACATACAAGACTCAACCACTGAATGTATCAGTAAGTAGAACATCACTGTTTCTCTCTCGCTCACAAAAAATCAGTAAGTAAAAAGAAATTTTTTAAGTATAAGGAAATTAAAATTACCTAAGTTTCTCCAACCTACAATAACCACTATTAATATTCTTTACCATTTTTTATGTATTTTTATGCATATACTTAATACATATATACAGTTTAAGTTAAATGGCATTGTATCATCTAGTTTTACCGTAACTACTTTTTTCCTTGCATTTTCCCCATGTCACTTATCACATACTGTGTGTTTTGCTTGCTTACTACATTGACTGCCTTCCCACACCCACACGTGAGCTGAGGCCAGGGATTTTTTTGCTTTGTTCACTTCCTGTCCTGAGGGCCAGGTACAGCGGGCAGCCCAGGGGTGTTTAGTCGATACAGTGTATTAAACTGGAACAAGGTGGGCTGTGGGTAAGATGCGTGTCTCATTTCTTACTCACTTTTTCTGATGTACCTCTGCTTCGTTTTCCTTTTATAAATTATAAAGGTAAATAGTTAGTTTCACTACCTTTTGTATATAGCACATTATAAACCAAAGAAATTAGCAAGTTAAGTTAATGAAGAAGGGTAGGTATTAATGCCTAGAGGGGATGGATTCTACCTGAATTCCCACCCCACCACTGATTGAATTTTTGACCTAACCTCCTAAGACTTTAGCACCCTCATCTAGAAAATGGAAATAACAGTTTTACCTCACGGGGGTTGTGGACATTACATGAGATGATACATAGAAAGTGCTTGGCATGTTGCCTTGTTAGGCTTTTATTATATAATGAAGAAAGTAAAATTTGTAACTATTCTATGATATAAAAATTATAAAACATACAAATGAAAACTACTTTAAGAATTCATTCAACAAATATTTATTGTGTGCCCCCCATATAGGTCTTGATAGTAACTTGAAAGAATCCCAATCCAGTGAACCCTTTTTTATTTCAGACCAGATTCTCTTCAAAAGACAGACTGAAAATGCAGTCTAAGACTTTTGAATTTTTTCATTAAGTAAAATATACCCTGCTATTTGTGATTTCCAAAATAGTGCTATCTAAACCACCTTCTTACTCTTACATGCAGCTCTTAGCACAGCTTTATACGCGCCACTATTTTTCTGACTTAGAGGGTTCCTTGGTTGGTTTTCCCCAGCAAAGGCATGTGCATAGCAGAGCGCTGGCCAGCATTGGCTGGTGGGCTGGGATCCTGCGTGCACTCAGCGCCGTAGAGGGCACTTCTCTGAGCCAGAGACAAGTGGAAGACACTTTTTAGTTATAATGTAATTGCTTACTGTTGAGTTGTTAGTGATCCTGGCTCTTGGTCTTCAGTCCAGCACTGATATTTGCTAATTATGACTTTGTAGTAAGCCTTAGGATAATAAAAATAAAATATTTAACAATTTTTACATTTCCTCTTTAAAAATATCGTTATAGTAATGGTTGTCTTCTGTTGGTTATTGTATTTTTCTCTAAGCAGAAATTAAGAATGCTGAGCCCTCTCAGAGAGATAAAGGCTATTTGGTACATGTGGGTAGTCTCTGCCCGTCAGTATCTGAGGTATGCCAGGAGATATTTTTTCTGCTTCATTATCAAGTCTGTTACAATAAATATTTTGATTACCTATTGTTGTTTTCTACCTTTCATAAACTTTTATTTCTCTTCTTTTAGGCTGATTTAAGGTCTTGTTTCCAGAAATACCAAGTTTCCGAAATTTCAATTTTTGATTCTTCTAATTACAGGTATGTTTTCCACATTCAATAAATGCATTTACTTAGTGCCCGCTGTGTGCCAGAGGCTCTGTACTAGACCTTAATTGAGGGGTGGTAAAGTCGGAGCCACTCTGAGCTTCCCTGTCCAGGAGAGGGGCACACGTGGATAGCGGCTGCACTCATTCACTGGCGCTGCTCTTGTCAGATCTTGTCCATGGTGCTTTTCGCCTTGTTGCTACTGACACGGCAGGGTTACTGGGAGTGTGCACTCGATCTCATGTCACAGTGGCCATGGGGTGCTTTAGCTAAGAGAATGGGCTCTATCTGCAGCTCTGTGGCCAGGTTCAGTTCCCAGTGCCATCAGTACTTGCTGAATAAATTTGGGCAAATTACTAATATTTCTGTACCTCAGGCCCTTTAAAAAGTAAGGACAGTAACACCTGTACCTTCATAGCGTTGCTCTGAAACCATGGGTAGTTAAATCAGTAAAGCAGCAGGAATAAAGCCTGGCATGTAGCAGGTGCTCAGAAAACTGTACTTTTACTATTTTTATTATAATTATTTCTTAGTTGACATAGTTGTGTCTTTGTTGCTATTTCTGTTTTGTGACATTGCCAGAACATTCAGCAGCATCGAATGGGATGAGCTCAGTGGGAATACCTTTAGTGTTTTGCCACTAAAAATGATAGATGTTTATTTTAGACATTAAAACTTTTATCAATTAAGAAAAGATCCTGTTTGTAGTTGGGGTTGAAATTTATTAAAAACCGGTGTTTAATTTTGTTTTAAATGGAGTCACTTAAGACATGCTTTTTTCTGCATTTATATTTTAGATATGCATCTCTTGCATTTAAAAGAAACAGTGATGCAAAGTCTGCTGCTAAAGAAATGAACGGGATAGAAATAAATGGGAAATCAGTCAATGTGCGACTGGTTAAAAGTCCTGGAGAATGTACGGCACCACTTTCCTCCAAAAATGGAAGAAGAATTAGTTTGAGTAATTTGGAGAAAAGCACCAACAAAGAAGTCAGCTCAGCTTCCTCTGCTTCTAGACTGCCCAGAACTAGGCCCCGGCAGCTGGTACCTGAGCAAGACAGTGAGTGTTTCCGTTCCGACCAGGAGGTTAGTTTTCTGGACAGCTCCTTTAAATGGTCTCTGTGTGCACTGCACTGCAGTAGGCAGCTGTGAAACAAATGACTAAACCCAGCAGCCTTGCAGTGGGAATGAGAACATCGGTCTGAGTGACTTTTAACCTTGGATCCACCCTAACCTGCTTTCGTAGAACTGCAGTTCTCCTGAGGGAAAATGCAGGTCTCTGCAGACCTGGCCACAGAAAATCTCATTTCCCTTTCACTCTAACTGGGTTCTTGGCCAGCGCTTTGCAGTCTTTTTGTCTCTTTATTTGCGGACCATACTACACCATTCTTGTTATCACCGCTAACCTTACCTCCTCGTTAATACCGTAAGATGCCGTCATTTTACTCTATGTGCCCTCATCTTTAAGCACCACGTGGGAGGTGATGACATGGCCTTGCTCAGTCTTCTCTCCCAGGCAGGTAGTTCACAGCCAGTGTCTTGATTTCTTTGTTTCTCTTCTTTCTCTGACTTCAGCAGAATGCCTGGCATCACTTAGGCATTCCATGGATTTTTTAACTGTGTTTGGTGTCTGTGTGTTTACACAAATGCATATAGACATGTAACCACCAGTCAAGATACAGAACAGTCCATTCCAAAACGCTCTTTTGTGCTCCACTGTTTCCTGTTGTTTCTGCCTTTTCCAGAATGTCATCAATGGGACTGTGTGTGGCCTCATCAGTCTGGCTTTTTCCACTTACCTGAGTGCATCTGAGGTGGATGCATGTTGCATGTGTCAGCAGTTCATGCCTGCTCATATTGTGACCATTTTTATGGGGTTGTTATTTTCTTATTACTGAGTTCTGAGAGTTTTTAATACTCTGAATATAAATTCTTTATCAGGTGGATATGTGATTTGCAAGTGCTTTTTCCTAGGCCATACTTTCTTTTAATTAATGTAATAGTATCTTTATCAGAGCAGGAGTTTTCAATTTCGATGAAGTGCCATTTGTCAGCTTTGCTTTTTTAACTTGTGCTTTTAGTGTTGTATTTGGGAAACCCATGGTCACAAAGATTCTGAGTGAATTTTTACTCAGATGTGTGAGGTGCAAACTGAGGTGTTTTTTTCTTTGTGCTTGTTTTTGTTTTACATATGGAATTGTTCTAGCATCATTGTTGAAAAAACTTATCTCCATTGAGTTATCTTTCCACTTTTGTCAAAAAACAATTGATTATATCCACGTGGGTCTATTTCTAGACTGACTCTTCTTTTCCATCCATCCGTTTGTCTGTCCACCAGTACTGCACTGTCTGGACGATTGTAGCTTTATAAGAAGCCTTGCAGTCAGGCAGACTGAGTCTTCCAGCTTTGTTCTTTTTCAAAGTTGTTTTGGCTGTTTGTTTTTTGTCTTTATAAATTTCATAATTCATCTCATCAGTATCTACCAAAAACTCCTACTTTGATTTTTACTGGGATTATTTTGAGTCTATAGATCAGAACAAATCCCTTTTTAATAAGGGGATGAAAGAAATATTTGTTGGAGGGGACAAGGGGACCTCTTCTGACACTGTCCTGTATCCCGTCCTTCCCTTGGCTCCTTCTCATGGTTACACCTGCCCTTTCCTTACTGTTAGTGCCGTTTCCACTTGCAGAGCTTTTGCTCTTTCAGTCGTCCGTGGCTCTTCCGAATCCCGGCAGTGTTGTCACTCGACTCGTCATTCGTTTCAAGTTACTGTTCCCATTTGTCTGTTTGCTGCCAAACTTCCCAGATTTTAGTCTCTAAAGTTTTATTTTAACTGCCTTTTTTGTTGTCACTAGTGACCTTTTCATGGTCTTTCCCCCATCGAGCCTATTTGACTCTTGACCATTTCTTTCTCAAAACTCTTGCATCTCAGGGACGCTGCATGTTTAAGCTGCATTTTCTTGGTACATAACCTCGGTCCACGGTAGGAAAGGAGGAGACAAAATACAGTCGGGCTGCATGGGGGCCTGGGCTGGAGGTTTGGGTGCAGCGGCTTCTCCCGTCCTCGCTCATGTAGTAGAGACGGCTTCTTGCCTCTGACAGCCCTGTGTATGCCATTCCTCTGCCTCTGCACATTGGCTTCCTGTCTGCTCGTGACTTTTTCTACATTTGGATTTATTTTGCTTAATTTTAACTCTACAGTGTTTTCCAGTTCAAGCTCCTGTCATTTGACCTACTCATTTGCTCTGTGTTTCAGTTCCTCAGTCTTTAGACAGGGAATCTGGCCCAGCCTGTGTTTCAGGTTCATTGGTTCAGGTGACGTGCTCCTGCTCATCAGCTGGGGCAGTGGCCATGGAGTTGGCAGAGGGCAGGTGATGTGGTCTGAATAGGGCACCGTGGGCCAGGGTAGGAGGGCGTTATCTTAGAGAATATGGGTAGAGAGGTTCCTGTTCCCAGCCTGTTAAGCTATATTGTCATGTTCTCTTACCTTTCCAGCAATTTCTCCTCACCTTTCTTTTTCTTGGATTCTCAACATTTATTCATTATATGTATTCATTTAGAAAATGCTTGTTGTCTATAGTGAGGCAGAGTAGCAATGACTAAGAACAGTACATTCAGAACCTGGCTCAGTCCCTCCCTACGCACTGTACGATTGAGCAAGTTCCAGAAACTTCGTGTCTGAGCTTCCCTATCTTAACAGGGGCAACAGTCTCTGCTTCTCAGCTGTCATGAGGTTTAAATGACTGTAATACAGAAACGGTTTTAGAACTGTGCTGGCATGGCCAGTGTACTCGGTAAATAGGAGCTGTCCTTGTTTTCTTGGCTCTTTCATGGAAATCTCGTCCTCTCTGTGGCTTCAACTGTCACTTAAACCGCTGTATTCCAAACATGTACCCATTTAACAAACAGCTGTGACATACTAACTGTGAACACTGTTCTAGACCCTGGGAAAGCAGCAGTGACCAGTGGAGCTTAAATCGAGTGAAGGAGATAAGGCAGTAGCAGAGAAGCAGCATACATGATGTTCTTATGTGACTGGTTTAATATTTCATATCTCTTGTCCTGATTTTCCGTGTGGGCTTTAAAGTCTCAGATCTTCCTCTGTTGAGCATTTATGGGATTTACAGTGGTTCCATACAACTTAAAGCCTGCTTGCCTGGTGTATAGTAATTAATAGATTAATTTTGTCTCTTCGGTTGAATTACAAGCTCCATATTGGAGAGGGTTCTGTTTTATGTCACTGGTTTCCTCTCCTGGTCGTCTCTACTGCCTGGGTGCGTAGTGTGCCCTTCTCACACGTTTAGTCAATGAGGTATGGACTCTGTAACTACCACCTGACCAGTTTCCTGTCAGGTAGGGTAAGAGAACTAAGCCTTCATGCCCCAAACCTAAGTTAGCCATTGTATATAATGCATTAACGGCTCTCCTATCTATAGGAACTAGTTATGTCCTATCCTATCTTTGGGAAAATTGAGAAAACAGGTTAGTGTTCTGTGGCTCAGATGAGGAACCTGGTTAAGAAAGGCTGGTTTAGACATAGCATCAGATACTTGGTCACTGCTGTAAGAAAATGTGTTTGCCCTTTTTAATACATGGCCCTGAGCACAGCTCAAGGAGATCTACTGGTATAAATAATCCCAAATCAACGTAAATTTCTTTAAAATGTTGATTTTATAATTTGTAATTATTATCATTGCTGTCTTAATTTTAATGTTACTATTATAATTGTAATTTTAAATTTTATTTTAATTGACTAAGCTGGATTGTCTCTGTAATGGTTACTGATTAAAAGGAAACTTTTAAAATGCTTACGTAGGGTGTAAAGAAGAAGAATTGTAAACAGATTGACTCTACTAAACTATTACCTGATACAACTATTCAATTCATACCTCCAAATACACTGAACCTGCGCAGCTTTACCAAGATCATGAAAAGACTTGCTGAGCTACATCCAGACGTTAGCAGGTAATGACCACAATTATATTTTAACTGGCTGTAAAATGTTTATGTAAAAATGTAGCTCAGTTCAGTACCTCGGCCATCTCTGGAATCGAAGCACAGATACTTTGAAAAGGACAGATGCTCACGTATGTTTCCTTTTGCATAGAGACCGTATTCTTGATGCTCTTCAGGAAGTCCGGCTAAGTCATAAAGGCTTCCTCAATGGCTTGTCTATTAACAATATTGTGGAAATGACTTCGTCTGTTTTGAAAACCTCTGATTCCAGTTAGGAGTAAATGAGGCAGTAAGAGGTAAGTGAATCATATCTTTTATATTTAACCTTTACTTAAAATTTAAGTTATTGATGTCATTTTTCCAAATGAAAAGAATATTAAATTTTAAATAATATTATAAAATAAAAAAACTGCGTACTGTATTAGTTCATTATTAATGCAAAACCAGTTGCCCAAAAATTAAATTGACTTTAACAGTGTTTATCATCTTACAGTTTGCAAGCCAGGATTCAGAAGTGGGTAGTTTTAGCATAGGGACCCTCCTGATGTAGCAGCCCTGGTGCTGGCCTGGTCTTGGTCACCAGGAGGCCTGACTGAGACTGCAGGACCTGCTTCTAAGATGACTCATTTGCCTGGCTGCCCGGGAGGTCCTCAGGACCCCCCCTGGCCCAGTGATCCCCTTGGAGAACTCACATTACTCAGTGCATGGGTACACATGGCTACGATTTATGCAGCAGAAGGAGACAAAGCTAAATAAGCAAAGGGAAAGGAACCAGGCACAAGTCTCCAAGAACTTCTTTCTCAGTGGAGTCACACAGATGTGCTTATTTCCTCCAGTAGTGAGTGAGACAACACACATGAAATATCCATCAGGAAGCTTACTAAAGACTCAGTGCTCAGTGTTTTCATTGGGGGCTGGTCCTGTAGGTACCCACTGCTTAGCACAAACCACATTGCTTATACAGTGTTAGCCCAGTGGGCCACTCACTTCTGGAATTGGTGGGAACCCTCCCCAAACCCAAGTTCCTAGACACCAGCCAAGGACCAGCCTTGCAAGCAGGTCTTTCTGAGGACAGCAGCCTCAGGGCCGCTGTGCCAACTCTTCCACACATGTACCAGTACAGGATGAATGTGATCTTTAGGATAGTTACTTTAAAAGAATAACTTTGAAAATCATATGAAAAATGAAGTTCAGGCCCTTACTTTACCTCATACACAAAAACTAACTCAAAGTGGATCGAGACCTCAACATGTAAGAGCTCAAACTGTAAAACTCTGAGAAGAAAGCACAGAGGAAAGAGCTCACAACATTGAAATTGGCAGTGATTTATTGGATATGACATAAAAACAGACAAGGAAAAGGACATTAATTTGTGTGTCAAAGAGCACTATCAGCAGTGAAGAGGCAGCCGACAGTTTGGGAGGAAATATTTGTAAATTATCTGGTAAGGGTTAATATTGCAGAATATCAACAACAAAAATGACCCAATTAAAAATGGGCAAAGGAACTGCAGTGCTGCACCACCTCACACCCGTTAGGCTTGTTCTTACTCAAAAAGAATCAGTGAGGATGTGGAGGAATTGGAAACTGCATTGCCAATTGGAATGTAAAGTAGTGTGGCCACTGTGGAAAATGATATGGCAGTCTGTCACATTAAACAGAACCGTATGGTAACATGGTTCAGCAGTTCCACTTCTGAGCACATAGCCAGAAGAATGGAGAAAGCAGAGACTCAAACATGCTCATACACCTGTGTTCACAGTAGCATTCACAGCTGAGAGGCACCTAGAGTGGCCCGGTTAAGAGAGACAGAAAGTGGATCGGTGGCTGCCCGGAGCTGGGGGCGGAGGAGAGGGGGTGCTTAGTGGGTGAGAATTTCAGTGTGGGAGGGTAAAATAGTTCTGCAGGTAGATGGTGGTGCTGACCGCACAAGTGATTTCCTGTTGAAGACATGCCTACATTTTTACCACTGTGACCACCCAGCTTTCCCATTAAGACAGTGAATAGTTCCCTGTATGTGTAATATACCTGGTGGCCTGTTTCTGTTATTGATCTAGTAAGAGAATTTAGTGATGTCCTTAGTTGAGGTACAGAGTTTAATGGTGAGTATATATGATCTAGATAGAGATAGACATATAAGTGATAAGAAGTTTAATGACTGACTGGTTTAATGTACTTTTCTGGAATGTTGGACTTGGCATAATCAACACGTTTTTTGTTGATTTCTTTTTTTCTTGACCTATAGAATTTCCTTGGGAAGCATGAGTTCCCTCCTACAGAAAATGTTCCTCAGCACTTAGGAAAAACTGGTGGTAATAGTAAGATGATGTGATTAAATAGACTTGATTAATAGATTCTGGAATATGTATATTTTTAAGCATTCGAGGTAATTACTGCTAATACATTTTATGCATTTTTATGACTTCATTGTAAAACACTTGGAGGTATTTTCCCTGTTTTCACCAGGAAGAGTGAACCGTGTATGCTTCAGTAAAGTACGTACATGTTCTTTTATTTTAAAATTTTTGTATTGAAGTTGCCAACATACTCACAAATGGTGACAGTAGTATCTTAAACTCAGTGTACCTGTTTCATCACCCAGATCTAAAGTGCTTAAATTTAAGTGATAGCTCTATTGCTTGCATTCCTTTAGTAATAATTCATTTGGTAATAATTTCTTTTTATATTAGGTTAGAGTATAAATTGGAACAATTTTCAAAGTCCAGTTTTTACTCCTTATAACAAAATTTCTTTAATCTTACTTTTTTAAAGGAACATACTGTTCAAAGTTGCAGTTTTACTAATAGTAAGATGGACATTTTAAGTACACATTTCCTTCAAATGTTTAAAATATTTAGTTGGTATCAGTTTATTAAAAGTTACCATTTAACATTTATGTGTGATGTATTTGCATTTAATAAAGGCAGAACCTGCAGTACCACTGCAATGAAAGGCTTCCTGCGGGTGGTGGTGTTTTCTGAGTATACCTAATCCAGCAGTGTTTATGTGGGATATACATGGATGGAGGGCCACACACCACACTAGGGATTTCAAAGTCTTTGTTTCTTATAGGAGTTTTTTTGTTTTGTTTCATTTATTAATTTGTTTTGCATTATTACCAGATCCATCCTAAATATCTGGCAGAAATTGGGTTTGAGAATATAAAACAATAATTTTAAAACTCTGTTAAATGAAACTTGAGTCTCATTGGTTTCGGCCATACATCAAATTAGTAGAATCCTAGAATTGTAGAGATTTCTTCCCACATGTTAAATTATATGCTAATTTATAGTAAAAGGCTACATGCAGAGTTTGCATTGAATAAAGTTGAAACATGGACTAGACATTTTTTTTAACATGGACTAGTGAAGTTTCTGATAATTTCAGTATACATTATTGCTCAAAGCCGGTTTTCTCTCATACTGTATTATTGGGACACCAAAGACTTCAGCTATGTCAGCTACAATATACAGATAACTAGAGACCTGGAACTAAGATTATCAGCAAAAAAGTGGAACTAAAAATTCCCAGTTGGCTCTACCTGATGCCAGTGTTAATTCTGGTCAAAGGAGGTAATGTGTGTAACGAAGAAGCTCAGTACAGCAGGTTAGTTTCTTACTAGAGAAATAGTTCCCCTGCTCTTTCTCTGTTGGTCATTGTTACTATCAAGCATTTACCTGGCACATAATAAAATGTTTACTAAGTGCTAGCTGTGTGGTCAGCAGGATAATGGTCCTCCACGCTATCCTGTCCTCACCCCCCCACCTGTGAGTGTGTCACGTGTGGAAAGGGTATGAAGCTTGCAGAAGCAAGTAAGTAAGGTTGCTGATCAGCTGACCTTGAAACAGGAAGATGGCCCTGGATTGTGTGGGTGGACAGAAGAGAAACCAGAGAAGTGTCACTTTGAGAAGGACTCTACCCATTGTTGCTGGCTTTGAAGATGGAAGGATGGGCAAGAACCCAGGAATGAGGGTGGCCTCGAGAGCTGGAAGCAGCAAGGGACAGATCGTCTCCTGGAGCCCACGTCTTGCCTGTAGCCTGGTAAAACTTGTCAGACTCTGACCTCCAGAAGCATTAGACAATAAACCTTGTATGTGTTTAAGCCTCCAAGTGTAGTAATGTGTTACATCAGCAATAGAAAACTTATACAGCTATACTTTTTATCTCTAGAAAACTGTCGGGAACAATATGCAGTTGTTGATGGGTTCTAGGTATTTTTGCCTGAATTTTGACTCTTAGGGGACAAAACAGTTATGTATGGGCTATAAGTGTTGTTGTATAAACCCTGAAGAACTATATCTTAACATCATGATGGTCAGGGCTGATAGTCTCCTGACAGGTCAGAAAATGTCATTATTTATATTGTAAGTGGCTTTGCATTTACTGCCAGGAAGCCAAGAGCCAGACTTGTGGTTCATTTCTCCCAGTGTTCTGAGAAGACACGCACCAAAGCCAGAGTCTGGGTCCGGACTGGCGCTCCAGCTGTGGTAGTGGTGCCCGCCTGCGCCCCGGCTGCCTGCTGTGTGAAATGAGATGACAAGGACCTGTTCATTCCTCACCCAGCACCTGCTAGAGAGCAAGAGCTGCCAGTCAGCTGCCGCCGCCAGTGGCGCTGTCCCCAAGCGCTGTGCGTGCAGTGCTGCTTAGTAACTGCCCCCGACTCTGGTAGCTCCTGCTGTCCTCCAGTCTGCTTTTTAAATTACGTTTTCTAAGAATGTCTATAACCTGCCTCGATATTTCTAGAATGAAGCAGGCTATAAATTAGTATGTTAGAGACTCTTAATTACAAATGATGGAAACACAACTCAAACTAGCTGAAGCACTAAAGGGAGCATTAACCTACGGAGTTGACAGCTCCAGAAATGAATTCCTCTCTCGCCGTCTCCCTCTTGCTCCCCCTCATCCCTGTTCCCCCCCCACACACACACATACTATAGTAATTAGGAAGTATTTAGCAATAACTTTAAACTTGCAGAAAAGTTGCAAAAATAGAGTTCATGTGCCCTTCATTCAGCTTCCCCTAATGTTTGCAATTTACATAACCATAGTAAATCATAAATGCCAGGAAATTAACATGGCCACAGACCTTTCCAGATTTCACCAGTTTTTCCCACCTTTTTTTCCCCATTCCCGGCTCCAACCCAGTGTCCAGCGTTACATCCTATAACTTCTTCATCCCTCACAGTCTGTGACAGTCCCTACATGTTCTCGTCTCTCCTGACCTGGCCACTTTAATGAGCATTAGTTGGCTATTTTGTAGAATGCCTGGGACCTTCACTCATCAAGTGTTTCTCCAGATGAGACTGAAGTGATGTGTTTTCTTGGTAAGGGCCCAGAGTGCTGCTTCCTCGGTGCCTTGGATGTGGCAGTGTGTCATTGCCATCACTTGGTGAGGTGGCTCCGCTGGGTTTCTGCAGTTACTGTCATTTGTAATTGGAGATCTTTGATAGTATGCAAGGACCCGTCTCTCCTAAAGCTTTTGCTCACTGGCTTTAGTGTCTTGCCTAAGACAACTGTTCTTACAGTTTTCCAGACAATTTCCCTTTGAGGGAAAGCTGTCCCTTCCCTATTTCCTTACTCATTTATGTCAGTGCGGGCTCTGGTGCCGACTGTCCTGTGACCTGGGACACTTGCTGCTTGTTTTGTCACTCATTCCAGCTTTCGCCGTGGGGAACAAGGTTTTTTGTTTTGTTAACCCTCACCCGAGGATGTTTTTTCCATTGATTTTTAGAAAGGGGAGGGAGGGAGGCACTGATTGGTTGCCTCTGGCACGCACCCCAACCAGGACTGGGAGTTGAAACTGCAACTGAGGTTCGTGCCCTTGACTGGGAATCGAACCCGAGACACTCCAGTGCTTGGGCCTACACTAACCACTGAGCCACACTGGCCAGGGTGCCCTTGGGAACGTCTCCAGGTTGGGTTCTGTCTTAATCGACTTTCTGACATCATAGGATATTTTAGGCTTATCCTCTACATTTCCTGCCCAAGCCCTGGAACCAGTCACTTCAACAAGCTCTGTTCCCTCTTACTGGAGAAAGCTGTGGAGTAACCAGGTCTGGCCAGGAGGTGTGTTCCTCGGAGTTGGTTGTAGGTCCTCCCCACAGACAGCTAGGAGGTCTGTGTCGGTTCCTCCACACACCCACCCTGTATCTGTCGTCCCATCACCGCTGACCACACCCAGCGAGAAGCAGGTTTCTGAGGGGAGGGACCCTTTGTAGGTGGTTCTGTGGCCTGCAGGGTGCAGTGTGGGGAGCTGCTGAACCTACTTAGGTTACCGGCATCTGTTCCCCCACCCCCTTCAGGGCCGCTCTCAGGCATCTGTACCAGCTTCTCGGGGTGGGGCAGGAGGTTCTCGCCTGGCTTTCTGCAGGAGCTCTGGGTAGACTCGACTTTTATTCATTTCTATGATGTTGGGATATTTTTGAAATCATTCTCATACCTGGGATGGTAAGAGCTAACCTTTCTGGCGGTGATTCCATACCACTCAGGCCCTTGGCCGCCCCCATCCCTGTCCCCATGTGTCTTGGTCGGCCTTTGCTTATTGCTGAGGTGGGCTGGCTGCAGTGGGTGGGGTGAGAGGTCACCCCTGGCACCTGGCAGCTGTTCTCTTAGTTGTACAGTTAAAAATTCAAGTGATGCTGACGACATATCCTTGTGTAAAATGTACTGCAGTCTCCTCGGCTCTCCCCTCTGCAGCCCAGCCCGTGCTGGCTGCCTGGGCTTCCCTGGACTCTAAGACCCTGGGCTACGTGCCCTGTGGCCTGGAAACTGGGCCATGAGCAGGCGAGGGTCTCCCTTCCTGGTCCCCCTGCTCCCTGGGATCCTGGTGCTCTGGTCTAGTGGGAACAACTGTCATTTCATCTGCTTGGTCCAGTTGTGTGGTTTAAGGGGGAGTAAATGCAGTCCCTATTACTTCATTGTGGGTGGAAGAAGTCTTATGTTAATTTAGACTTTTTAGTAGTGTTGACCAGGCCTTGTTGACTCAACTAGATTGTGTCTGTAGCCCTACTGTGTGCACAGTAAAGCATTTGTCCATTTTCTCTCTCCCATTGTTTAGCCTACTCCATCTGCAAGGAGGTGCTGGGAGAGGAATGATTGTCCATGCTGCCTGTTACCAGTTAGGAACATTGGAGACAATGTGGCCGGGGCTAAGTCGCCCACTCCTGTGACGGTGTCATAGCTGTAGGGGCATGTGTTCGAGTTTGCCTGCTTGCCTGCCTTTGCAGAAGGGGGAACCCATAGTTCTTCCTGAAGGCATCTCCTACCCAGGCCCAGGGTGCAGATAGGAAAAGTTAGAGAGCACCACAGCGTGTACCCCACTCTGGCCTTTCCCAGGAGACATATGACCTTCCAGAGCACATGAACTTGAGAAACGGCCTTTGTCTTGTAGGGAAGAAATGGCAAAGGGCTTCCCCTGTGGTCCTCGCCTCCTGTGGTTGAGTTTCAAAGAG